GCTTTGACACCATCTCATTTCTTAACTGGTCGAAAGCTTACTACTGTTCCATCTGGACCTGAGCTTAAAGGTGATAAACTCACTAATATTTACAGAAAACAACAAGATGTACTTGATATGTTTTGGAAAAGGTGGACTAAAGAGTATTTGCTGGAACTGCGTTCACATCATCAAGTAAAAAATGTTCGGCAATCACCATGAGTACGAGTAGGAGATTTGGTTCTACTGCAAGAGGATGTACGACCAAGACACGTGTGGAAAAAAGCTCTCGTGGTTGAATTAATTAACGGTCGGGACGGAAAAATTCGTACTTGTATTCTTCGTGTCGAAGGAAAACATATTACCCGTCCAATCCAACTGGTCATACCTTTGGAGGTTGACCAGGGTGGGGAGGATGTTGCGGTACGCATAAGCAAACTGTAAAATAATTGAATTATTCTTATATGTTTATTTTTGTTTATGTAAATTAAATACGTTTTTGGAATATTGTACGCCACGTCATCTAAAATTAAATATATAGTTTTCATTGATATTTCTTATTCTTATTAGTTGATAATCTTCAAAATAGATATCAACCATGTCAACCGTCATCTATGAAAAGGTACCCCATCATAGAATCGAGTTAACATGTCTTATATACTAGTGAATTGTAATTGTAATTTTGTAATGGTAGATAAGCTACAGTACTCCCCCACCAAAATTAAATCTGTGATAGAATTCGATGAATGGATACCATTAGTTGAATCATTGCTGTTTTTATGTGAAACCGGGAGAGCTGTATTAAAATCACCGTACTTTTTGAGTGCTGAATGGGAGAGGTGTTTTAACTTCATGATGGTCGTAGTCACTGCTGTGTTGCCCTTTAGCATTCGAGTGTAAAAGTTGTGGGAGATTGAAACTGAGTGGTTGATGATGTTGCAGTCACAAGTAGCAAGTCAACTTTTCAATGTGGACCATCCAAGGAAGTAGGCGTTTCCAGATCGAAGTGGGCGTTACTGTCAAGATAGGCGTGTTCATATCGATGTGGGAGTTTCTGTCAAGGTAGGCGGTTTCACATCACGTCCAGGTCACCAATGTGAGTCGATATGTAGCTATCGACCGGGTCAACCGTCATCTATGAAAAGGTACCCCATCATAGAATCGAGTTAACACGTCTTATATTCTAGTGAATTGTAATTGTAATTTTGTAGTGGTAGATACGCTACAAATGTTTCAAGATTTTCTACATATAAACAAACAGAAATATCCTTTAAAAAAATTCCAGAAATTTCTGAAACTTATCTAAAAATATGTAAGTAATTCACAGTTTATATAGAGATTTGAGAGATAGTTATAAGAAAAAATTACTGCTTAGATATACTAGTTATGAAACTTTGACGGATATACATATTTATATTAAAAGTTTCACTGGTAACCGAGAAAATTGATTAAGGTTTAAATTTATCCTAACAGAATCAAAAGCTAACTGAATCAGTTGAACAAAACCTAAAGTTAGTAAATGGAGAAGAAAAATTCTGGTATAATTACTGTACTGTACGATAATAGCATTTCTGATAAAAACAATGAACAATAAAAATTGAAAAAGGCATGATTCTGGTATTAAAAACCAAAATACAGGGTTTTTAAACCATTCGTTCAGTAATTTTTTCGTTAATGGTTCGTTAATGGTTTCGTTAACGGTTTACAGGAAATTCTGGTTTTCAAAATTTTAGTTCTTCTTGCGATACATTTTGTAAAAACTGCAAAACTGAAAGATAAATTTAACCGAATAAATGGTTTTTATGCCAGTCACTAAAGTATAATAATAAAATTATCAACTTTTTTTACATTTGCCAAATTTTATCACGTATTATAAAACTATACTCTATATTTAATTTTACGAAATCCATTACCAATACGCTATGGTCAAAATCACCGAGCTTTTTAGTTTCCTTATAGAGCCAGACATTTTACCATATTCTGCTAATTTTGACCACATTTCTTTTCGCAATGTGCAATTAAATATTTAAGGATCTTTTAAATGAATAGTATTTAATTTTAATGTTATGTTCTTCATGAAGCAAAAGTGATTTTTTTGTGGGATTGGTGGTCTCAATTTGGGTAAATTAAGCTGGGGATGGAACCTTTTACTTTTGCAATAGAAATTGTTTTGTCTAAGCTATCGTTTTCATATAAATCACTCAACTTTACGGACAGAAACGAGTGGTCTTTTGATCCTAAGTCAGTAATTTATCATGAAATTCATCAAGAAGTTTTCTCATCCATAACTCAAATCTAAGCCTTCTTGATCTCCCCCTCTTCTGGGCATTATAATTCATCATATTTTAGACGTGTAAATAAATGCTTTCTACGTTTAAGCCCAGACTAATCTTGTTTTTATTTCTTACAACTGTATTCTCAAAACACATATTGCTAACTATCTTGACATATTAAAAACAATAGTTCGGAAATTAAAACTTTAAAAACTGGGTAGCATATATCTATTAGTTTTTGATATATTGATAGAAATTTTCGATCTCATTAAACTATTGTATCATTCAAGGGTATTTATTCGTATCAGGAAAGTAGCGTAAAAAAGCATATTACTACTGTGTTAGATTTGTATATTAGTCACTTATTACCACATTGCTGCCGGGATTGGAAATAAAAGATGCTTGCTTCTCAATGAAACGATTTAGGTTCGAGTTCCAGCCATCACTGATTGATTCGAGTTCTGCTCCCGGCTCTCAATAACCACGCACTGTTAGAAATGGTTAAATAACAATTTATTTAATTGTTATTTTATCTTGTTCAAACAAAATAGCCAAATAACCATAAATAAGATGGTATTCAAACTGTTAACTCTAAGGAAAACAATTTATTAAGAACTTTCAAAAAATATGTTTAAACAACCAGAACTTTACCACACTAACTAGGCCCNGAAAAAATTATAAGGTGAGTGTTTGTATTTATATGTTTGAAGTGGAATTAATTGCATGTAATAGTTTTATTTTTCTCACTGTGAAAAAGAGAATTTAAAGTATAGTTATTGAAGTTACGTTTTATTTTTCTTAAGCATCATAGCATAATAAAGTACTGAGAAAAGGGGGTGTTTATTAACTGGATCACCAAACGATGAAAAACCAGTGAAGGAACAAGTGTTCCTTTACTGGTTTTTTTCTTCTAAGTATGAAAATAAAAGATAAACTTTATTTTTCTTGTACCTTTAGTGATGTTCCGCATCAAAAGTATGCTAAAAATACGAAAAACAACTTCTAACCAGTGAGGGAACAGGCATGTTCCTTTACTGGGCATAGATTTCCCAGTGAATGAACAGTATGTGTTAATATGTCGACACTTTAATTTTCTATTCATGATTACAAAAAAAAGTTAACATTTTCCAAGTATTTATACGTTATAATTTCTAGAATAGGCTTGTTTTTAAATATTTGTATGGCTTATAAATTCATAAAGGACATTAAAAAATAATCAAAATTAAGTGTTCCTTTACTGGGTATTCATTCACTGGTAAGAGCTGTTCCTTCACTTGGTCTTCTTACTACTTGTTATTTGAACCTGCAAAACTTTTAAACAATATTATGTAAGTTCTCTACAATTTTTTTACATAATTTGCAATTAGTAACAAATATGTTGACACTGTCATTTAACTAAAATTGCGAATTTTGAAATTAATATGATTTTTTAAAAGGCAAGCGAAGCTTAAGTGTTCCTTCACTGGTTAGTTTACCCTATTTAATTGTTATTTTATCTTGTTCAAACAAAATAGCCAAATAACCGTAAATAAGATGGTATTTAAACTGTTAACTCTAAGGAAAGCAATTTATTAAGTACTTTCACCTAATATGTTTAAACAACTAGAACTTTACCACACTAACTAGGCCCACCTAATGAATCTACTTAATTCCTTGCAGCTGGGTACATGTTATAACCGGGAAGGATAATCTGTCAATCTCATAACCGACAGAACGGGGATTCGAATTCAAGCGGTAGCACAATATTTTCTCCATTCCTTTCGACACATGAATAGTTTCCGATATCCTGCTCTCTCCAATTTGTGACCATAGACTATTAGAATATAATACTCTCATTCAAGCATAGATGGCAGCACCAAAAACCTGCCGAACACAAAATATCTAGTACTTCGCATCTCTTACGAAAGGTGAAATAACGAGATATACTAATTAAATCACATTCTGCGGTTTGTTTGCTAAAACACAACTCAACCTAACGAGACGCCTAGCTCTAATGTCAAGCTAAATTTCTTTTTTTACTATTTTGAAACCATGTTAGTTGTAAATGGTTAAAAACAACATATCATTTTGCATTTATGGTTTTTTAGCCATACCAGTTGTTAACAGTTTTAAAACCGTAAAGATAAGAGAAAAATTCTTTACTGTAAACTTTACGGTTAATTTGATGGACAAACTGCTTCTGTTTATTTTACCGTAATTTTAGAATGAAAATTCTGACAGTGCTGTGTTGGCGCAAAATATCCATAGGTTTAGACGGGTTCCTTAGAATCCCTTTTTGTCGGACTAACAGTGAGAAATTTCCGTTGTGTTCTTCATGTAATTATTTTTTCGTGTAATTTGGTTTATTTTATAGCATAACTTCATGCAATTCGGTTCATTTTATCAGAAGTCTTGACCCAAATGTTTCCTTGTCTTCTTTGTGCTCAAAATTACAAGGAGCGTTGCAAGTTCAACATTGATAGCCACAAAGTCAAACACTGGTCATTTCTCAACACTGGAATTAAAATAATTTAAAAAAGAAGAATCACTATTAAGCATCGTTCGCGTCGAGTATCGTAAGTTTGACAAGTTCTGTATGCCCTTAAATAGGTAAGTACAAATTCTAATTTGATAATGCTATAGTTCCAAACGAAAAAAAGTCTTAAAAGAGTATTTCGAAATAGCAGGTTTATATTCTGAATAAAATGTTTTAGTTATAAACTAATATGATGGTGAATGTTTAAATAATTTTGTGCATAAAACATTAAATAAGCAAATAACTTAAAATTCTTTCCATAAATGAGAATGTTACAAAAAGAATAATAGCTTTTCAAGAAATTCAAACAAAATCGTCGTTTTTCTCAACGACTTTTCAACATTAAAGCAAATATTTTAATGAGTAATTATCGTCTCAGAGTGACCTTAAACTACGAAATGTTTGCCTTATTTTTTTCAGAAACCCTGATAACAAGTTCATAAAAGTCTTCTTAAAATTTTCAATTAATGTTGATAAACTCCCAGTCTTCTGCACTTCAGGTTCTGAAAAATTAAAAAATAATGATAAATAATTTGGAATTCACATAAGAATTAATTACCGATATTAAAGAGAAATGCAGAGTGTTATGTAATTATACTCTATGTATATGATGTACTATACATAGACTATACATGTATTAAAATAAAAAAAAGAAATATAAAAAGATGACCCTAACGATACGCTTCGGTAAAAGTCTTTCAAAGAAAATGCTAAAATCATCTGATCAAAAGATATAATCAGGTTATCCAATGAAGTGGTTCGTAGCACCATTTCACCCCATTGATCAATTCGTAGAATGTCCATTGCTGAAATTTGTTCTGAAGTTCAATTTGTTTACAATAACATAGGTTATGTTGAAATTCTTAATTCGCTCCTCAAAGAAAATCGAAAAACTGCAGATTAATTTTTATTCCCCGCAGATCTAATTATAAGTTGCTTTATAAGTTATTTTACTTCTAAAAAAATATTTAAAAATAATCAAACACGTAATTAAAGTAATTATCTTGTTAATTACTCAAAAATATTATTTTTCAAGCAAATGACTACCTGAAATTTTGTAAACTTATGAACTGTTATCTACAAAAACATGACAAAGAATTTAGATTTAAGTGACAGTAAAAAAAATAGATACTTACGCGGTGTTAAGTTTTCACAGTGATACAACTTATTTATCTTTATTATATCCTTCTTGCTAAAACCGTCCCTCTGACCTAGCTTGATACCAGGTTTTAAAGCAATAATGGCAGGCTTTTTCACATCGATTGCAAACTCATACGCACCATAATGCATGATCGAATCGTAATCATAGCTTAGATTGAAACTCAGAACTTCTGACCATGAGTACTTCCAAAAATTTTGTCTAAAACCTGTTCAAAAAAAGGAGAAAAAATCTATAATACTCTTAAATATATTCTACAAATTTTTATAGAGGTATGTAACAGGATAAATTTAGATTATTCGGAGTTATACAATTTATTAATGATTAAAAAAACAATTTAATACATTAAAATTTTAAAATCAAGATATTTTAGTTTTCTTATTTAAACTACTATAAATTACAACTTGTTTACATTTCATCCTGATATCTATGAATGATGTTGTTGTCGTAGACCATTAAAGCAAAAGACAGACACGATTGTTCTTGTTTTCCAGTGGCACCATCTATGATCAAGTGTTCTACTTCTACCACACCCATACGTCACACTAGTTTATAGGGTGGACCCATTCATACATTCATCCACATGTCGTAATTTTGACAAGAACCTGAGAATGATCAATCTCCAATTCAGTACTACCAGAGGTATAATTTGTAATGGGAACATGGAGAACTTTGTGACCCGACAGATTAAACGTACACCAATCACCATTTATTCTTCAGCCCACTTGATTCGAACTCCCGTTCTCACGAATGTAAGTCTAGCTCCCTGACAACCAGGCTTTCCTGGAGTAATATCAATAAATATATACCTAAAATAAACATTTAGTTGAAGTTTTAACTTTTATATAGACTTTGATTGCTAAACCAATAACTTAACACTTTGCTAATTCCTGAAACTATTAGTATTTCTCATTATTGCTTAAATAATATTTAAAAAATACCTATTTCGTAATAACCATGATGTAATACAAATCTGAATTTGGTGTAGAAATTGTGGGCTTCTTTAAGTTAGTACCTAATTAAGCATTGATATACCCTTCGAAGTTTAACTATTAATAATTAACAAACAAAATAACAAATATTATTTTTTTATTCCATTATAATTCATGTACACTTTTCTATACTTCTTAGTAATTTCAAATTTCAAAGTGTTATAGTTTTGGGGCAAGTAAGCAAAACTTAGCGTTGCGTTGAACACCCAAAACAGCGGCTCCGTCGCCCCTTATGATTTTCCATCTCCGTGTTTATTTTATAGAATATCTAGTTTTCAGATTTTTATTTTCAATTTAAACTAGTGCTACTTCTCTGTTCAATAATCCATAAATAATTCATACAAAATTCAATACGATTATTTTTTAACATAAAACGAATTGACATTATAAAAACTAATTTATATTTCTACAAAAAGACAAAATTATGAGTTAAGATTACACCTGAAAAATCCACTAGATTAATACAAACACTTTGAACACTGAGAGTATATTTAGAATCTCAAGTTTCAGAATTATTCAAAAGAGAGAAAAAGAAAAACAATAATAAATGCAATGCATAAATCAAAACGATAAGAGATTTGCATAATTACTTAAAATAAGAGAATAAATAGTAGCTTTTGAAGTTCCTAAGGTTGAAATACAACGAATTTCTTGCTGCTATAATACCAATATTTTGCAACGTTACGCTTCGCTTTTTTCTTTTTCCAGTCAAGAGACACAAAACTACACCAAAGTACAGTAAATTTTAGATGTGCAGATTCTATTCTTTAAATATAAAAATTTAACTTTATTTTTAATATACTTTCAAAAGTTATATTAGAAATAATTTCTTATCAAGAAAATTAAGTTTTTACTTAAAAATTGACAATTTATTTGACATATAACAGCTTAAATAACTTAAAAAAAGTGATAAATAGATCTATGATAATTTTTTTAAATCTTACTATTTCACACAATAAATTGTTTCTAAAATTATATTTAATCTAAAATCATATATAAAAAGTATAGATACATACTAATTTTTAAGATTCCGCCAAATAAAAATACTTTGTTTATCACTCCACGTTAAGTCTGAGAGAAAGTCTGTTGCGTTTTATTTCGATAAATTTTGACTCTCGACCAATTACAACTCTTGGCCAATCAAAGTTACCCATATGTCATAACTTTCAAACGAAATTAGATAGCAGGAACTCTGATATTTAACATAAAAGTGAAGAATAAACTTTTAGCTGATTATATTAGTTTCATTAATTAAAGGATTAATGTTAAACGTTACCTACAAGCTACAAATTCCGCAAAAAGGGTTATGCTTAGGTTTTCAAAGTTAGAACTTACCTGGTATAATGTTGTCCCAGACAATGATGACATATTGGTCTCGATCAGGTCGATTTTGTTCGTGCACAAATCCTAATAAAAGCATTAGTTCATGTAGAATATTCCCTTTGGTATAACAGTCTTCATTCAATGGCATCTTATTCGATTTCTCAATTTTAAAACCTATTGTAGCAACACACCTAGAATATTATGTACAAAAGTATTTCATGATTTAAGTCGATTTTAACCTTTAATTAAGTCTATAAGTTAAGTAACTATAACCTTAAAATCACAAATAATTCCTTTATTTAAACTTATCTTTTCGATTCACTTTCATAATTAGGATAAAATAAAAGACAGGCGTGATTGATAAAAAGTTACAGCAACTAGTGAGAAAAATAGACTTTTAAATAACTCTGTGCATTGATCTCGATTTCTGGAAGACTTTTTATATCGCTTAAAAAATTCATTTGTAAATTAGCACGCTGATTCCATATTTATCATGCATTTAAAAAAATATTTTTTTTATTTTTTTTTTTATTTTTATTTTTTATTTTTTAATTTTTCAATAGTCAATTTTATCACGTTTTTATTCTCTTAATTCACTCTTTCTCTCACCAGTTGACGTTACCCATAAGATTGTATCATTCCTGATTCCATCATCCCTGACATTTTATTATTCTGATTAAAGTGCAGCATGTTGCAGCTGCACTACAACGAATCTAAGTTTTGATCAATAAATATTCTTGATTTTAACGTTGTATTGACTAAATTATTATTATATCACAAGGAATTCTTATTGTTTTATACTGTTATCATTATGTTATGCATACCTGATGCCTACGCAGTTTCTTTTTCTAAGAGGAAGGAGGTAAAATATTTATAAATTGGTTAGTTATTTGAGTCTAACTCATTTTCGGGAAACTATTTTTTTTTATTGTTTCAGTTATTTGAAGTTTTTGAAAAATATTCCCTAAAACTATATAATTGTCTCAGTTAGTTTATGCCCAAATAATCCAGAAAATATCCTGCTTTAAGCATGCTGTGTCTAAATCCTGACAAAAATAATCTTACATTTCCACAATTATGCTCGTAGTTTTATGTTTATTACTTGTAGAAGACTTCGTATTCATTCGGCAGATCTTGTTTGTTTATCTAATTTGAAATTGTATGATGAATAGTATTATCTATTGAATTTCTTTCTGAACTAAATTTAAACGATAATTTGATTTTACGATTTCATAAAAGAAAATAGCTTAACTTATCATTAATTTTTACGACTCCCTTACATTAACAAAGTAAAATTGTAAACTAAAGCATCCCCACAAATCTAATGGAAATTAATTCTCTGTTGAATTGGTTGAGAATTTAATTTGTTGTAGTTCAAAACATTTGGAGTAAAAGTTTACATTGGCGCAAAGTTCAAAAATAGATAGTTTCCGAGATACGGAGCCTCAAATTTAAGAGATATAAGCAATGTCCAATATGGTAAAAGGTGCTTGAAGCATCTTTGTGTGCAAAATGGGACATTGGTACCTGGCCTTTAAGATATGCACGATATAGAGATAACATCAAGTATCAATCTAAGAACAAAATGGAATGTATCTAATGTGCAGAGAATCGACCTTCCCAAAAAAAATTTAAATAATATTTAAATAATTGATAAGTTATGCTTATGCGTAACTATATATAATTGTATGCATCCAACTATCTCTTAGTTTAAACAATCAGCCCTTATAGAGTAGCAAAACATCTGCTTCCGGATAGCCTGGTTGGTAGGGCGTTGGACCAATGTCTAAAAGATCGAGAGTTCAATTCCCGCTGACCAAAGACGTCTGGTGCAGTAAAAAGTGACGGGTGCAAGTTAAATCTGTCGGGTCACAAAGTCCTCTATGTTTCCTTAACAAATCAATACCTCTGGGGAACATAATTGGAGATTGATTGTTCACTGGTTCAGGTCAAAATTGCGATCTGTGGATGAATGAATGGGTCCGCCCCATAAACGGGCTGTAAAGTATGTATGGTTGAAGTTCTATTCTAGGCCATAGATGGCACCACAGAAAAACAAGAAATGTGCCAACACCAAACAGGCTCACGGATATTGGCAAGGGGCATTAGAAGCAACAACATAACGTGTGCAAAATTCGACCACCTCCACGTGGTGCACATTGGTTAATGCTTATATCGTGGTCACATTGATTTTAGAGAATCAAGAATTTTTATTTATTTTTGGGGCTTCCTATCTCGGAAACTATCAATTTTTGGACTTTGTGCCAGTGAAAACTTTCGATCAGAATGTTTTGAACCAAAACATGTTAACAACATAACAACATAATCATACTTTAATTATTGTTCATAATAACTATCATTTAAACCAGATTAGAATGTTTTTGTTTTAAATATTATTTATAATTCTCACCTGTCTTCAGGTTCAATCAAAAGGTATGAATTTTCCATTTTTCTTGGAATAAACTTAACACATGTTCTTTCATCAAATTCCTTCATTGCTGCCAAGATATCTTCTTTTTGCTCAATAACTATTTTTATTTAAATAGAATCAGTTTATTATTTAATGTAAAATAAATTTGCTAATTTATAAACATAATTATTGATAAGCTATAAAAAGTTCTTTTTCTTTATTACTCCACTTAAACGAAATTTTAATTACAGTTTTACCATTTTTTTAAAATTATTTTCTAATAAGATTTTCTTTATGTCAAAGTAACGCTTCATTAAGTCGTTAAAAATTATTTTTTAAATTTTAAAAACATCATTGCTATAGAATAATGTTTCATAAAATGAAACTTTATTATTATTTACAAAAAGATTAGCAGAAAGACTTCAATCTACAAGAACAAGAATAAAACTTAAAAGTACATTTCACTGCAAAAAAAATAAGCAAACTACAAAATAAAAGTCCTTTTCATTAAGTGCTAAAATTTGTCCTTAAAGGTTAACAATACATAAGGGGTTGTAAAACTTGATAAAAGCTCTTCTAAAATAGGAAATCAACTCTTCAGTTCAAAACTAATACCTTTTGTTTGTTTTTCTACTTAAGAAATTAAAGTGTATCACATTATTTATATCATTTAAATTCAAAACTGTTGACGCACTAAAGTAAAATAATGAGACAATTCAAGTAGTCTCCAAATTTTTCAAAACTGTTATAAAGAAAACTAATCAAAAATTGCTAACAATTTGTTTCTTTACTTACTTTTGTATCATTATGAAGTGGCAAATAGCTAAGAAAATATTCTCTTAATACAACTCAAGAATCTGCATGTTGCAAACTTAAAAGATCTTTTGAATTTGCTTTAGAAACCATAATTAATCTTATTGTCCAACAATGTTTACAATTTTTATACATTAAGTAGTACTATCTCTTTGGTCTACTAAACATTTGACTGATTATGAGCACCATTGGTTTTTTCTATGGTAGACTCTTTACATTAATTTGTTAATAAACTTGTTTGTTAATAAATATTTTCAAATAATTTCTAGTATGCAGTGCAAAAAGTGAATACTCAAATATTACAAAACTTTCATCGTTTTTGACGAAACCGTTTCCTGGTCTATGCACCGAGCAAATATTTCGTCCAAATGACTAAATAATTATCGCTTCTTCAAGGAAACGAATTTTCTCAAATTTAAAGAAAGATTTCGTCATTCTACTTTTCCCCAAAAAAAAAGAACTTAAAGTGCCTAAAGTATCTAACAATTTTAATTATCATTTTATCGTTGGCACAAAAGGACACATAGAACAAATAAATAAATTACAACCATGCCCAAAGTAGGATTCGATCCCGGGATCTTCCTGGTACGAGGTCAACTTCTTGACAATCATACAATTCATTATAGTTTCGTCATAATAGTTAACAATCTCCCACAATACACTACGCTGAGGTTTTGAGTTGAAGAAATATTTTCGTCATAGATTTGAGACCTTGCATTTCGTTACAAATCACATGATTTCGTGACGAAATTATTCTAAAAATTAACGAATTATAGATAAATGATATCTGAATTGTCAAAAGTGAGAGTTTTCATGGACATATTCTTTAAAAAATAATTTTTATGAAACAAAATCAGTACTATTTACGCAGCTGATGAGGCGTATGCTATTTAAAATTAGAAGTTTAAAACTTTTGAGAAATATAAAAATAATTTTCGCTCGGTTCTTTCAGAAAATATTCTAAGTTTAACCAATACTTAACCGAAATCGAACAACCACAATTAAAAATAGATATATAGAAAGTAATTTCAAAGGGAATAGGTATAAAGGAAGTAATTTCAAATTTAAATAATCACACTAACAATGCCTAGAATTAAGGCATAATATAATCTATGTAATATCAAAACACTATTTAGAAAAAAATAACAATCATTTTATCTAATGGCAGTTCAATACAGATAAATTGACATTATGGAAAATATACATGCATGCGAAAAATCTTTCCTGATAACTTTTTCGACGAAAACGAGATTATTAATATTTGAATCTATGTAATTATATTTGATCTACACTGTGGGCATCTTTCGCATATTATATTATAAAAGTGATTTAAAAAGACAAATGTGGTGGGTGTTTTTGTTTGCTTTGTCAGATAGAAACACGCCTATAATATTGCAAACCGGTCATTGTTCTTTAATGTTTGGTACAATTGTTGCCATAGTAACATTACATACAACCTTCTCAATTACAGTGATATGCTGCAGCATTCATTATTCAAAGATGTTCCATGAAAATGAAATGAGTTTAAATTTTATGTGTTTAATATTTATTAATATTAAAAAATTATTGTGCTTAATATTTGTTTTATGTTTTGGATTTGTAGTATTTATAAATTGAAAATTTCATAAAAAGCTCTATCTGAACAATAAAGTCTTGCAGCAAAATATTTAAAAATATAATCATGGGTTTGGAATATTTTTTTTTAATTCCTGTAATTAAATATATTTTAGAATATAAGATTTGCATTATCAAATGCATATACCGACATATTTCATGCTAGTCCAGTTGAATTATAGACCTTTATATATTGTCTAGTACCGGTCAAGTCATTATAAAATAATTGAGGTTTTTTCCATTAATTTAACAAAATGACAAGAACAAGAATTCGTTAATTTTTAATCGAATTTGACTAAAATTTTAAATTGTAATTAGTTAAATTTTAACAAACCATTTTATACTGGGTAGCTCATCCTCAGTTGGAGAATAGAATTAAGCTCAAAAAAATCCACTCAGTAAATTTGACACAACTGTCTAAAATTTATTTTGTACAAGTATTGTTATAAAATTCAAGTGCAAACATTATTATAGTGCTATTTCAAAATTACAGACATTCTCTATAAATGTACACAAACCTTTTAAAATAGTTCATGATTTCCAGAAGTTTTATTTTCAAACAAGTTTTTCTGTTACTTGACATTCGAATTCTTATAATACTTAAAATACTACTGTATTAAAAATTAATTTTAATTAAAGTTCTTTTAGTTTAAGTTTCCTCCAGTTATGTTTTTTTTTTCTTTTTAGAAAATAAAACAGGAACAAAGAGCTACCTACCATACTTCTCAGATAAGACGAAAGGAATAATTCCTTCATTCCAAAGTTTTCTAGGATCACTTACAGCAGTTCTCAGCTAAAGAAACAAAAACATGCTAAAAAACGGCATTACTAAGATTTTCAATTTAATATAAATAATCACAAAATTTACGTAACTCAAATTCCTAACTGCTCAATTGTATAGCTAGAGAAAAAGGGCTTCTTCGTATAAATTAACAAACAGAATTGTTTTCACTAAAAACTATAAGTCATAAATAAACAAGGGCTGAAAACTTCCCTAGTACCCCATTCACTTGTTTTAAACGTAAAATAGGGCTGATTTGGGGGAAAATAATCTATAATTTATACAGTCAAGTGATGTAATATTTCTTTTGTCTTTTTTACTTATTTATTTATTTATTTATTTATTTATTTATTTATTTATTTATTTATTTTTACATTTTTTTATTATTTTATTTAATAATAGCTCTAACAATAGTACTAATAATAATCAAAAAAATTTTAAATTGCAAGGTATACAATTGTAAGGTATACAAAAAGTGTACTTAAGTCATGACAAAAATAGCACTTTTTACATATGAAAACACTCGTAACTTTTGAATTATTCGTTTTATTGATTCCTGTATAGTTTTAAGCAATTTAGCGTAAGAAAATAGCGTAATAATACGTAGGAAAGAATGCCTCACTTATTTATATAGATCCACTACATGAGTTAATAGGTACAAGTACAAATTTGTACTTCTTTTATGTAAAACCCTTATGACTTCAAAACTATTCATCCAATCGTCTCGTTATTCGTGTCATTCTGTTCAGCGTAAAAGAAATACATTAAAAGTAATGTGCTACTTGCTTGTCTAAAAGAAATTCCATTCTTTCACTTAAATCACCCCCATTTCTCCCGAAATAGGAAGCATACTGAGGAGAGAAGGGGAGATTTCATGTATCATTTATGAAGATATAACAACACTTTCTATGGAAAAAAAAATCTTCGGTATACATTTTTTCAAAGAAAAAGTCTAATTTTACTGAGATATACACAAATTTCAACAAAACATTTTGAAAAAAAAAGTCAAATGTTGCGTTGACCATAAATTAAGCAAAAACATACAAGGTCAACACAAATTAATTATTTTATACTATTAATTAATAATATGAATAAAAATTTTATACCTTAGAAGTTATTACACATATTACAAAAAAAAGAAACATCAAACTAAACAAAATATATACTTTGTTACTTTTTTAATTACAAATGTCTGTTGCATGAACCTCTTGTTACATGACACTCATCTAATTTGTAATCAAGCTCGCTTCCTGCATTTGGTAGTTGTAAACTGTCTGTGATTCCTAATACAACGTGGCTCTGGGGATAGAGCGTTCGCCTTCCAATGAGATGAACCGGGTTCGAATCCCAGCGATAGCTAGTCGATATCAGTTACGCTCCCGGCTCGCATTGACGCAAAATATCCTCAATGGCAGACGGGTTCTGAGTTAGCCGTCAGGGTAACCGTCAGGCCCTTGCCGTCAGGGTAACTATAGGAGATTTTCGTGGTTGCCCTGTCCATATAACGCAAATGTGGGTTAGTTAATTCAAAAAAATCCTCCACGAAGGTTAATTTCTCCCAATCCAGGAGTTCCCTTGTCTTATAGATCGGGTTCAAAATTACAAGGTTACGGTGCTGAACATTGGTAGTGGTAAACCCAAAATTTTGTTCAACTATAATATTACAACAGGAATGAGACCTATTTAAATGTTTTTGACATCAGAGGTGCAGAAACAGTATTCCATGCAACTGATTCCCTGAAAATAAATTACATGGAGTAATTTTTACCTGTGTTTCCAGTGGTGATTATGAATCACCAATGCCGAAAACACTGGAAGTATTTAAAAAATTGTAGCTATGCAGCATTAGGAGAAACTATACAAAATGGGAGAAAAGAGCTTGTTTACATATTAGATGTTTCACATGTAAAAAAGGGGTCACGCATTAAACATTTACAACAACAAAATAGTTTGGTGCTTTTTTTTCGGTAATAAACTTGATTACAAATCAGATGCTTCTAAGGTAACAGAGGATCACACATTTGTAAAAGAAAAAAAAATTTCCAATTTCTTGTATTATTTATTCCAATGTCCGCACTAGATACAAAAATAGAAATTTTCATGACCTTCTCGCTCACTTTCGCTAATCCAGCATAACTACCATTTCAATTTGGAATGGAAATAATTCTAAAGCATTTCTATAATGTATCAGTGAATGAATGCCCGAAGAAAGAGCAGCTTACAATTTCAAATGTTCCTTTCACTACAAGAAGCAAGTAATTAAACATCAGAAATAGACTTAATCTCCGAGAGTTGACAATGTGTCAGAAAAATCTATTTTAGTCATTTTTGCCTTTAAACAAAACAAAGCAAAGCGTGACAACTTAATGAAATCCTAGTCAACTGCTTGAATGAAATCCTAGTTGACATTTCAATCGTTGGATGCAATAAGGACTTAAATATTTTTTTATAAAATTTGAGGTTATAGTGGTTTAAGTATATGTAATGTGTGCAGAAATATCTTGCATTTAATGTTTAACTAAAGCTAACGCTCAACTCCCTAATAGCTAATTCATTAAACACCTAGCCTTGCTTCGGTTTTACATGTTACTTCTTCATCCGCAGGATAATATTACGAAAGTATTAAAAATAGGGGTGATAAATAACGAATGACGCACGTGGAGAGGTTAGATCGGAGTTGACAGGTAGCAAGAAAAGTGAGGAAAATTGTGAGTTAACAAAATTTAAAATTATGACAGTTAAAATAGTTAAAAAATTTTAAAAAGTAAATGTTTTCCAAATATCAACGCGGTAGTAATATTATATGTGAATGATTTCTTTTCATTATATGAAAAGACTCCCAGAAATCAAGGTCAATGAATCACAACTTTTTTTGAAAAACAGTACCTGAAGAAAAATTAAACATAAAAAATTTATTAATATTCTATAGTTGAATACTACCAAGATAAGATATTTCCCCATGAAATCTTAGTTTTTCTAAAAATTTCATTAAACTTTCCTCGCCTAAGCTTTCATTGTATGTCAGTTTTTGGTAAAAAAAAATAATCAGTCTATAGAATATTAATATAAAGATGTTAACTTGAGAAATATTTGAAAACTATATCTTTCATAATTATTGACTTATATTAAACTCACAAGAGTATAACAAATGTAGCACTTACTTCAAAAGCTTGAATTATAGAGAGACGGTGAAAACGTTTAGCATGGTTGCCGATGATGTGTGAAACATCAAGATTTATATCTTTTACAGTAACACTTTCATCGTTTATATCTATTTCTCTCACGAACTGTGATAAATGACTGTTTGCTGGAAGCATGACTTCCTTTTCTTCAAGCCTTTCAATATCAATATCATGTAGCAACATTGCTTCAGTAGTTTTTTCATTGCTTGAAAATGGAGAGATATGCAGCGCCTCATTGCTATTGGTTGTGAAATTAGTTCTGATACTAGCTAAAGTTGATCTTTTGTCAATACTTATTTCATCCCTCTCTATTAGTTTGTTTAAATCTTGTATGGTAACTTCATTCGCTAAATTGTTGGGACCAAATGTTACTTTTGCCATAATGGCTTGCGTTGCAGTTTGTTTAGAAGATACTATGTTAGGTACATTTGCATCAACTGATATTTCTTCGGTAGGCATTACCTCTGCCACGGTTCCAGTATTGTCTTGTTTAAGAATTTTCTCTGTCACTTTATTTTCTGCTATCACATCGGCAATGGCAGACATAATCTTGGTTTTTGGAATTTCTGAAGTTTTATCAGATATAACTTTTACCGCCCTATCTTTTGGATTAGTTATAGACTCATCCTCTAAGATTGCAGTAGAATTTTTCCGAATTCCATCTGTAGCCATCGTTGTAGCCTCATTTATATTAATTACTCCATCCCCATCCGCTGGCATCGACGTTGTTCTCTCTTTTACAGATACTTCTATCCCATCCACTGGAATTACCGTATGTTTATCCAACTGAAGTGTCTTAGTCGCATCTGTGGCAAATTTCATTGTCTCATCGCTGAAAACTAATGTTTGAATTTTTTCCGTTTCTGCTTTGGTTTTATCTGTTGGAACCATTATGATCTTATCACTCTTAGTTATTATATTCTCATCTGTTAGAGTTGTACTTTTCCCTTGAGTTAGAATTCCTGTCGAAATTTCAATACTGCTCTGTGTTTGAGTTACTTCAGTCCTATCTGTAGAAATTGTTGTAGTCTCAACCTTTTCTTCTTCCATTGAAGTTAAAACAGTCTCCTCAGTAAAAGTTCGAGTACTTCCGTCTTTCGGGAATGCCTTTCTTCCATTGCTTGAACTTCCCATGGAACCTTCTGTAGAAATTGCTACATTGTTAATATTTGGTGCTGTCGAAAATTCATCTGTAGTAATTTTTATTTTTTTAACTAATGAAGTTAATATAGAATTTTCGGAGAAAATTTCTGTTACCTCGTCTCCTCGTATTGGCAAAATCCCATCTTTCGGGAATGCCATTCTTCCATTGATTGAACTTTCCATGGAACCTTTTGTAGAAATTGCTACACTGTCAATATTTGGTGCTGTCGAAAATTCATCGGTAGTAATTTTAATTTTCTTATCTGATGAAGTTAATATAGATTTTTCAGATAAAATTTCTGTTACCTCGTCTCCTCGTATTGGCAAAATTCCGTCTTTCGGGAATGCCATTCTTCCATTGATTGAGCTTGCCATGGAGCCTTCTGTAGAAATTCCTACACTGTCAATATTTGGTGCTGTCGAAAATTCATCTGTAGTAATTTTAATTTTTTCATCGAATGAAGTTAATATAGATTTTTCTGATGAAATTTCTGCTACCTCGTCTCCTCGTGTTGGCAAAATTCCATCTTCCGGGAATGCCATTCTTCCATTGATTGAACTTTCCATGGAACCTTTTGTAGAAATTGCTACACTGTCAACATTTGGTGCTGTCGAAAATTCCTCTGTAGTAATCTTAATTTTTTCATCGAATGAAGTTAATATAGATTTTTCTGATAAAATTTCGGTTACCTCGTCTCCTCGTATTGGTAAAATCCCGTCTGCTGGAATGTCCATGATCTTATCTGTATGAACTGCTGTATCCGCATCATTTAGTAAAATCATTTTTTCATCGACTGAGAGTAACTCAGACCGATTGGCAAAAGATCCTAGAATTTCTAAACCATCATGTATAGGAATTACCAATCTCCCATCTATTAGGACTTCTCTGAGTTCATCTATAGGAAGTGTCATTCTGCCGCTTACTGAAATTTCCGTAGTCTCTAATGTAGGAATCGCTATAACATCACTATTTGGTATTGTCACAGGCCTATTTGTTGTAATTTCCAATTTTTCGTCTAATGAAATTAACTCAATCCTATCAGCAAGAATTTTTACCCTCTTGTCTTCTGGTACTGGTATAACATCGTCTGTTGAAATCTGTAGGCCTCCACTTGCTAAAACCGCCTTAGACCTATCCGCTGTAACTGCTGTAACCATGTCCTGCGATATTAACATTTCCACATCAACGGAAGGTACCGCAGTATCATTAATAAGGATTTCTTTGTTTTCATTATCTGGAATTGCCGTAGGCACTTCCATTGGAATTACCAAACTCCCACCTATAGGGTTTTTTATGTCCCCATCTAATTGATTTTTTAAGGTGCCATCTATCGGTCTTTTTATGGCGCCATCTATTGGAAATGCATTTCTCCCTGAAATTGCTATACTGTTATTTGGTATTGTAAAAGAGTCTTTTGTTGTAATTTCCATTTTATCGTCCAGTAAAATAAGCGTAGTCTTATCAACTAGAACTTCCATTAACCCGTCTTGAAGCATTGGTGTGCTGTCTGTTGGAATGTCTATGATCCCTTCTGTAGGAAGTGCTATAGTAGCCTCACTTGGTATTGTTTTCTCACCCATTGAAGGTAACATATTCCGGTTCGTAAGAATTTCTATTGTCTCACTTTCTGGAATTTCCATATGAACGACTATTGGAATAGCCAAAATCTCTTCAATTATAGCTTCTCTTGCTCCGTCGTTATTAATTTCTACGGAGACATCGTTTAATATTTTCAAAGACTCAGTTGTCAAAATTTCGATTTCTTCATTGATTACTGTTGACACAGTAGGTTGTCTAGTAATTTCTGTCTTATCGTTTTCTGAAATTGGTATCCTATCGTCTGTTCGATCTGCCATAGTCATATCTATGGGAATTACTAGCCTACCATCATTTAAAATTTCCATAGATCCATCGATTCCAATTGCTGAGTTCCCACCTGATGTACTTACTATAGTCCCCGCTGCAGTGATAACCTGAATATGGTCTGTTGAATCTACTCTGGCATCATTTGTTGGAAGTGATATAGCTTTTTCGGTTGTGGCATCACTTACACCTTCTCCATTGATTTCATCAAACATTGTTTCAAATATATTGCTTCGTTCTGGTAAAGGGGAATGTATCGTGTTTTCTTCATTCACGGTAAATGCATTTGTCATAGGACTGACATCAATCGTACTTGTATTTTGAAGAGCAAATGCTTCAGATTCTTCATTAAATATTTTTTCGGGTTTTTTTATTTTATTTGTTAGAATTTCCGGATGAATATGTTTTGTGACTTTCTGATGAAGGGCCATTATATCCATGGGCAAGTGAATTGGAATAAAAGGATTCTGTGAAATTATTTTGCTTTTTGTTACATCATCTTCAATATGGCTAGTTCCATTTTTTACTATCATTTCCTGAACATTTTCTTCCGGGGTAATGAAATGATCTTTAGGATCATTTTTGATCACCTCTACAGAAATAGTTGGAGTTGTAACTTTTTTCGCATTAGCGAGAGTCTCTGAAAGATTATTTGCTGAAAACAATCCATGATTGAATGGGTTTGATCTATTACTTTTCTCACTTGCGTTTTTAAATATTTCTGGTGTGGACAAAATGCTTGGCGATGCTTTGGAAACCGTGGTCTTATCTACAAATACGGAGAAAATAGTTATTGTATTTATTTCTAACTTTTAAATACATTAAATTCAGTTCTTAGTAAACTAATAAATATTATCTCAATACGCTTTATATAAACCGATTGTAATCGTATGTATTATTTTTTTTTTAATTAGTAAGTTATATAATGTGAAACAACATAATGCCACTAAGGTAAGGGAGATCTATCAATCTTTACGACTCGAGCCCAAAGAAATTAATAATCAATTAAATCATGTATTTTCAAATAAAAATATCAGAATTATAATTCAACCTCCGCATTACAAAAATTCCTTCCAGTGGAAATGTATTGCGCAAATTCTTCAAGAACTAATTGATTGTAGTGGTTATTTGATTAGAATATGATTTATGGAATCCAAAGCATGCAACGTATTGTTATCTATAACCTTTTTTAATTATATACTTATTTCTATTTTACGTAATATTAGTAAATAATGAAATAATTATTTTAGGAATGTATGAAAAATCTGAACTTACGCAATGATGGAAGAAAGAATTCATTAAACTCGCTTTTCTGAAATAAAAACATAATCTTTATTTTCAACACAACATAGCAAACCTTCGTTTAAAAATATTTTTAAAGTAAAAATTTATATTCAAATGATAGCTTGGTTTATGTACGACCATATTATGTCGAATGTTGTTGTATAATAATGCAGTACTAATAAGCTGCGCCCCTTATTCGTTGATGGTCTCCAACCCTCGAAGATTGTCATGCTAACTTATATGGTTTGCTTTGCAAACCATTCTCGTTTACTCATTTGACCTCATGGGTATTGAATGTATCATATTAAGAATTTAAATCAATTATCTAAATTGTTAAAAATAATTCCACTTTAAAAGAAATTAAAAATTTTAGTCATTAATAAGTTATTGAAATAAAAATAATAATTTTAAATAAATGATAATTTTAAATAAATGCTTTTAAAGAGCAATTAATCACAAATTTGTTACAAAACGCAATTATGGATTTCAGAAACTTGAGCTATGACTGTAAAGCTGTCAAATAATTTAGCTATTAATGACGTTAAATTTATGCATGATATGTGAGGGGAAAAAATGCAGAAACTAACCATTATTTAAATAAAAAAAAAGAACCATTTCGTTCGACAAGAAAGCACCGCAAGGGTGGAAGTATGTTCTATCTCAAAACCTCCAGATAGATGGCAGCATCACTCAATCATGCAGCCACTTACAATTTTGACGTAGATCTGAAGGGGAGGGAAATTTTTTCCAGATGCCTGTACTCATGATATGACTCTGCGACAGACCACAGTACTATGTGGGTCTTTGAGGAATCGAGGATCGAACCCCGTACCCTCTGTACCGCCGTACGCTCTTCTAGCCACAGTCCTGAAAAGGGGTAAGAGAGGATTAAAAGGAAATAGAGTGCGCCTTGGATTAGGCACTGTACTTTGAAGCGTTATATAAAAAATCTTCCATTTTTCTATTATTTCTATCTCTATTTCTTATAATAGGAAAATGAGACTTTCAAGTAATTTTCCTTGTTTTCTGTAAGAGCATAAGAAAACTGAAATAAGAATGGTACCCAATTGTAATTTCTAATCTTAAAGGGATAAAAAGTAAGCATTTAATAATTACATAAACGGAGTTGCTTAGCAAGAAGCAAAATTTCTTACATGCCTTTAAAATAAAATGCACTTTAAAAATATAAATAATTTCCTTAATTTAGTGAGGGAATCTGTCGAAAGTTTTGGCCCTTTATTAATTTAAATTTTTACCATTTTCATTTTTATACATATCTCTATATTTATATTTTTCCCGCTAATCAAAATTAATTTGCATCATTTACAAAATGTTTCAGACTCAAAAACAGGAGGTTTTTTTAATTTTTTTTCTTGTGAATTATTTCAATTAATTATTGCATTTTTCGTAGTGTTTCTTAAAAATAAACAAACCTCCTCACATAGGGATTTAAGATCCGAAAATAAAAAAAATGGAAAATTCGAAAAATTCTATAAAAATCAAGGGATTTGTTGAAATCATATGATTCAATAGGCAGAAAGAGAGCTATGTCTATTCATAATAAGGTCAAGTTAGTGCAAATATTTTATAACGTTTATATATATNAGCTGAGGAAATGATTTTGTAATCTTAATACAAATGTTACATTTCTTTAATGTATAAAATATATATATATGAAAACGATTTCTCAAAATGGCTTAAACGAATCGTAAAGTCTCCAGTTTCAAATCAAATTTAAGCTTAAAAGAGTTTTAAAAATAACCCTCTCCTACCGTAATACTTGGAACTTATAAGCTTCGTTCAGTTCATGCTGTAATATATTCAAGTCATGCTGTATGCTGTACTCAACAATTCTGGAAAATTTCTAGTTTGAATAAGTGGGGGAAAAAAGCAAAAATATGATTTCTCTTTATAAATCGGAAGAAATATGATTTCATTACTTTTGAAAGAAAACACGTCAAAAGTTTTCATAGAGGATGCATCGATGTGCAGAAAATAAGACTTTTAGTTTTATTTTCCACTGCATAATATACTATATCTAAGATGATATTAATCGTGCAAGAAGACACGAATTCTGGTAAAATTACCGTACTATATGGTAATGACATTTCTGGTTTAAAAAAAACATAATTCTGGTTTAAGTAATCAATATGTATGGTATTTAAACAATTTATTTGGGGATTTTTCCTGTAATTCTGGTTTTCAAAATTCCTATTACTGCACATTTAGTGAAAAAATGCAAAACTGAAAAGTAAATTTAACCGACTAAAGGACTTTTATGCCATGCTGTAAGGTATCATGATAAAATGACCGAATTTCACTACAATTACCAAATTCTTACCTCGTATTACAAAACAGAAATTTATTGCTAATTTTACAGAAGTCATTACCGAAATCGGAAATGGCGAACAGAAAGGAAGATTGTTGTTGTTCATTTACGTCGCACTAGAGCTGCACAATGGGCTATTGGCGACGGTCTGGGAAACATCCCTGAGGATGATCCGAAGACATGCCATCACAATTTTGATCCTTTGCAGAGGGGACGGCACCCCCGCTTCGGTAGCTCGACAACCTGCAAGCGAAGTCAAGCACTTTACGGTAGAACAGTTTAACGAGGACTAATACCGCACACCCTCGTTCCCTACTCAGACTGATCCAAGTGGTCACCCACCCGCACACTGACAGCAGCCAGTAATGCTTGACTTCTGTGATCTGCTGAGAACCGTGTCTTTACGATCAGTTCACTGCGGGTCACAGGATGCGCAGAAGTGATGTGCGCATGCTAATGCTAAAGTATGGGAATCTACCACTCGTCTGTCTCTTACTTACCTCTTGCTTACTCAGTGTTATGCTAGATGTTTTGTCTTTTAATTAAATTTTTTGATTTGCTATATCTTTTCATTTATCAAATTTTTGATCGTTATTTCACTTTTAGGAGCTTGTAAAGTATCGAAAATGCAAAACGCTAACTAAATTAGAAATAAATTAAGCTTTTTATTGTAGGTTTGCAATAACACGGAAGTAAAAGGCTTACTTTCACGTATATAATATGAGTAAATTCCTTTTAGCGATTTTTTGGCCAAAGCAGTTTTTTACACATGGTTAGCAATAAGACCAAAATCCCCCGAATCGAAATAGAAAAATGACAGATAAAATGAAACAACTGAATCTGTTAGTAAAAGAGGTTTACAAGGAAAATCTGTTTTGCGTTTTTTTTTCCTGAAATAATAATATATTATTTCTTCATTTACAAGATCTGAAAAGCTAGAAAATTTTATCTCAAAAATAGTACTAATCATGGAAGCAAAATAGTTTCATTTTTCCTTAAAGTAACTTTAGTTCGTCACAATACATTTTTATCATTATCGAAAAAGCTGAGGAAATGATTTTGTAATCTTAATACAAATGTTACATTTCTTTAATGTATAAAGCACAAAATGGATATAGACTTCGTACTTTCTCAAATCTTTTTGCAAGATTTATAGCTTGATATTTCAAATCGTAACATGTGTTATCGAAACATGGTTCATAATCCATGGTTTCCTTTCTCTATGGTTTCCATAGTTGCATTTCTGTGCAACTGGATCATCATCGCATGCCTTTTTAGGCCTTTCTTCAAATTTGCTTAAGAAAAATGTGTTTATGCCTTAATCTCATTACAATTTCACGCGAGATTTTCGCAAGCACACCATTGACCATCCGTAGCAGATTAATCTGAAACAATTTATTACTATCTTTACTAAGTACTGTTTCTTCATAAGTGTCTTTTTGCACATGCGCATAGCTGCATTTTTAGCACACGTTGTTTACTAGACATCGTTTCATTCACCGAACGTTTGGGACACATCTCATAGATCATAATTGTTTCTTAAATTGCGGAAGGTTAAGAGAAATATAAGTTTGACCAGCTTTTAATCTAAGCAAACTCACAATCCTATATCAAAAAAGTTGGTAAAATTTAAAAGCAACGGTATAATTAAATTGATATCGTTAATATTGCTTACAAATTTATTACAATTAGAATCAGACTTGTACCATGAATTTCCCAGAATCCCTTCGTTTTCCAATTATCCCTCTTCCATTTATGTGATTTAGAACGATTTGTAAATTTAGATTTATTGTCATTCTGATATTCAACCAAGCGATAATCTGCCTTTGTCGTCTAAAGCTGGCTTTATCTGCCCTCTGACATTCTGACGTCACATCAAATTTCATTGTCCAATGTCATTTTGTGACGCCAAGCTGAACTGCACAAATCTATTTAGCCCACTTGCCCTTTGAAGGGCATTAATTTGTTAAAATATTTTGCATGCATCTAATACGAAACGGATTAGAAGCTTTAGAAAAAGTTGTTTTACTTATGTTTTTGAGAAAAAAAATTGCTATAGTTACAGTGACAGGGCTGTTTTTGTTTTCGAAAAAAAAGAAATTTGATCCAGTGACATAGTCACGGTATAAGAATGACTGTCATGAAACACAGTAACTGTTACCGTATTTTTTTTCAATATGGAAAAATTACATACCTAACTCCCACCACGACATTTTCTCATATTAGTCAATGTATTTCACTTTCAATTAGCTACTTTCACTATTCACTTTCAATTGCTAAAAATTGGTAAATAATCATTTAGATCCTTTATCGATATTCTATTAGCTTTTATTAATTCTAATTCTCAACAACTTTGTAATAACGTAACAGGATAAAAAACAATTATTTTAGCTCATACAACGAATTAATAATATATGCATTTTAGTTATAGACTTTTAAATTACTTACGGGAATAGAAACCTGCTTCCAAAGCCCCAGTAAGGGTTTGAAGAAGTTCACAAAACTTTTCGTTTGATGAATTACCATGGGACTCAAATCTTCATAATCCTGGCTCGGAATACCATTTACTCCTAAAAAACAAATACATTGAAGGACACCACGTTTTCCATATTTGTTCTATTTTTTGAAGAAATTTTATATTTAGTACACTTACAAAAAACAACACTTTAACATTATGTTGACCTTATTTAACACCTTATATAAAGAATTATAAAATAATAGAGAACCTTCTTCCTTTTGCTCACCATTCCCCAAAACGTATCCCTTCATGGCTCGCGTTTGCTAAACCGCCCGTTCTCCAGAAGCTGAAACCCAAAAGCCTAGTATTCTTGTTTAAATATTCTCGTACATAGTTCAAACAATGATGAACTAATAAATGTACGCCTTTGTTCAGACTGTGTAGTATTTTGTCAGTACTCTGGCGAACACACATATGTGACAAAATAGCCTAATATTCTCTTTTAAACAATATTCTCGTACATAGTTCAAACAATGGCCTACTAATAAATGTAAGCCTATTTTTAAACTTGTATAGTATTTTGACAGTACTCTGACAACAATATGCTTTCTAATATATTAACAAACATGGGAAATAGAAAAAGGGCGAAATCAGGAGAATGTTTATGCCCTATATTCTATTTCCCTATCTAAAAACATAGGAAAAAACCAGTTTTGCTAGGCGGTAAAGACTGCAGGTTTTACGACCTTTAACGGCGGAACCATCAGCTGGTTAAAGAAAAAATTAATTCACACTCTAATTAAAATAAATGTCGATATTTCTTTTTTATCTAAAAATATACGGGAGATATATTTTTAGAAAAAATATATATTTAGAAAAAATATATCTCCATATTTTTTCTAAAAAATATATAATTAAAAAAAACATAATCGTATTTTTTGTTTAAGAAAATTGAATTTCGATCGAGAAAACAAACTTATAGTATGCTCAATTATGATGTTAACATGCCATTTGTCACATTGTCACTGACACATAGTAATTAATATTTAAAATTAAGCATTTATATTTGCTTAAGTAATTAAATAAAAATTTACAATTTGACTCTGATAATTAACAATTACTAAGTATGATAACATATTTACATTTTTCCTCGTTAACGCTACGATTTGCATTTGAATTGAAATAGGTAACGACAGGAATTTTCATGTATATGTTTTATTTATTTGTTTAACTTTATCGAAGAAAACGATAAAGTTTAAAAAAGTCTATTGTAATAGAAAAGCTATTATTTCTGCAAGTGTATTTTTATTAATTGATTTTCAAATACATAAAAAAATAATAATAATCCAATTTTACGCTTGTTTAAGTTTGGAAATTTCTTTTTTAATATTTTGTCAATTTAGTTCAATGGGAAGAAAAAAAATTATAACTTGATTAGACGACAACACCGTGACATGTCATTTTCATTTATTATACATGTTATTTTCATTTCATGTTCAATTTCATTTTATGAGTTATTTAAATTTTCCTTTTAATGCAATTATTTCTTTGTCGTTGCCACTTAAAACAAGCAAATTTAACGCTTTCTCCAGAATTATATTAAACTTTTAATCATATAGAGCATTTATACTAAACAAATGCTAATGACAGATATAATGAATGCTTGAAATCGTCTTCTTGCTGAACTAGTTGAAAAGTTAATAAAACTATGTATGAAAACTAAGTTAAATAAAGTATTACATTAACTACTTTATAAACGAGCAAAAAAGGTTTCGTCCGAGTCAAATGTCACCATTAATATACTTTTGGTAAACTTAGTTCAAAACTACTAAACGGAGAAATAAAAATTATTTTTAATTCATTTTGTCCTAAGTTATAACTTTCTATTTGATGCATGACCATCTTAAGCCACTTGACTCTATCAAATGCTAAATTATTGAAGTGAAAACTAAAATATTTTAAGGTCAAGATAAAATTGTTTAGTTAGGATAAAATCTTATGAACTTAATTTTAAAAAAGAGCCGAAATAAAAACTTTAATTTCAATGTTAGTTTAAAAATTATAGCACTTTACTTGGTGCATAAACATTTTAACTCACTTGACTTTATCAGATACAAAATTTATTTTCATATGCTTTATTTTATAGCAATGATAAATTAATTATATAAGCTTAATGATATATACTTAATTCTTTAATTTCATTTTCAAGAAATGTGATATTGAAATACCTTGAATAGGAGCTGGCAGTTCATGAATAACTATCGGTCCGAGATCTTCAAAATCAAAGTTTTGTCTTAGGTTCACATTTGATACTAAAATCAAAATATATTTCAGTTATTTTTATTTTGAAACATCATAATATAAAATAACAATATTAGAAATATATTAAAAACAATATTAGAATATATATCGAAACAATATTAGAATATATATCGAAACAATATTAGAATATATATTGAAACAATATTAGAAATATATTGAAACAATAATAGAAATATAGTTATTATATTAATTAATACAGAATAATATTTATTTCTAAAATAAAATAAAGTAATAAGTAATAATACAGAATATTATAACATACAGTAAGGAAAAGAACCTTGGAAATAGATTCATAAACAAACCTTGATGTTCCACTAATGGTTCCATGTCCTCATCATCATCATCATCCTCATCTTGTCTCAGACTAACTCCATTCCCTAAAAAATGATTCAAAATTGTAGAATTAAGTGCCGTTTGCATTTTTTACCCATAAAAAATATTCAATGCTTTTTTCTGAGTTTCAATTGTGACTGTTATAACGTTTTCTCTCGGTAAACGTTAAACGCTGATTTAACACTTTCACGTTCATGTATATATTTCTGCTCACTTAAAATGCATGAGTTGATTCAACTTCTCAAAAAAAGAGTGTTTTTTTTCAAACTTGAGTAAAATAAACCACCGTTTGAGTAAAATATTTGTTTTGCGTTCAATCGAACTGGAATTCGGTACTTGCACTTCAAGAAGAAGAACATCGCACATACCCACACATGTGACCTATGACGTCAGCTCCAGCTCATCGCTTTTTACTTTTTTTATAACTGTCATTGAACAGTCGACCCGATTTTTGGGTTTACGATTACTAATGTTCAACTCCATAGCCTTGTAATTTTGAACCCAATCCAGGAGACAAGGGAACTTCTGGATCAAGTATTGGGAGAAATTTTCCTTCGTGGAGACTTTTTGATGGAACTAACCCGCATTTGCGTTACATGGAGAAGAAAACCGCGAGAACCTCCCACGGTTAGCCTGACGCAAGGGGACTCTAACTCATGATCCGTCTACCACTGAGGATGCTTCACCACCGGGATCGAACCCCTGTTCACCTCGTTGGAAGTTAATCAAATAACCAGTTAATTAGATACAGCGTCTAATTGTACATCGAATTAGTTGATATATAAATATAATTCTTTCTCGTCTCCATCTTTTATTTAACATAGATTTATTATTTGTTTATTTATTTTATTGTAACCATGGTATATTGGTGCTTTATGTACGTGGCAACTTCGATGTAAACTGCTGTTTGTAGAAAATGCAACACCATGAAAGAATCATCAGAATCAAATGAAATTTAATGCAGAAACGACTTGTACTGATACAAATAAATGATGAAATTTTCAAAACAAAAGAAACAAATTAAGCGTCCGAAATCAGTATTTGGTGCAGCCACCACGCGCTGCAATAAGTGCTGCTATACGACGTGGCATGGAGTCAAACAGATGTTGAATATCTGCTTGAGGAAGAGAATTCCATATCGCTTGTATGCGCAACCAAAGTTCGTCTTTGGAAACTGCAGGACGCGGATCACGAGTGAGACGCCGACCAACCATATCCCACACGTGCTCAATAGGCGACATATCCGGCGAATAAGCAGGCCAAGGAAGAAGTTGCATGCGTTGTGCTGAACAGAAGTCTCTAACAGTCCGCGCAACATGTGGGCGTGCATTATCCTGCTGAAAGATAGCTCCAGGGATGCCTTGAAGGAAAGGAACGACTTCGGGCTGTAGCACTTCACGGACGTATCTGTTGCTATTGAGATTACCCTCAATTCGTATCAAATTGGATCGTCCATGATACGAAATCGCACCCCAGACCATAACTCCGGGTGTTCGACCACTATGTCGTTCAATAATACACTCAGGAAGGCAGCGTTGACCGGCATAACGTCTAACACGAACACGGCCATCATGGGTCCACAAATTGAAGCGTGATTCATCTGAAAAGACAACTTGGTGCCAATCAGCTCGCCAGTCTCTGTGCTCAAGAGCCCACTGCCGACGCAGCCGTCGATGATCCGCCGTGAGGGGAATCCTGTATAATGGCACCCTTGCACGCAATCCACGGCGCAGCAGACGACGACGAATTGACGAAGCCGACAATTGTACACCTGTAGCAGTAGACCAATGTGCTGCCAGCTGCCTGGAGGAAGCTGTGCGATCATTCACCGCCATGCGGAGCAGGTGTCGATCATCGCGCTCTGACGTCACCTTCTGTCGTCCAGTGCCTGTTTTTCGAGTTGTTCGGTGCTCGTCGGTCCACTGCTTCCAAACTCGCATCACTGTGGAACTGTTCCGCTGCATACGAGCTGCTATTGCGCGATAGGAAAATCCTCCTTCTCGAAGGCCGATTATCCTCCCTCGTTCAAACTCCGTAAGTTGCTTGAATTTCTTATTCTTCCGTCGTGGAGGCATACTCAGGTCTCACTAAACGTTTGCCACTAACAAATAATCATAGACTATTTTCAACGTCCCGCTACAGCACTTTATTTATACGCTTTCAGCATCAATTCAGAGGGCGCTGCGCGCGCCACGCACGCGCGATGGCTCTGAAACTTTATTAATTTGCATAATATCCTATATCCATTATTAAAATAATATTTCATTTGATTCTGATGATTCCTTCATGGTGTTGCATTTTCTACAAACAGCAGTTTATAATTAGTTTGTTTATGTTCTACTTGGCTTCTTGCCTTTGTTTTAAGTAAGAAACATATCTTGAAAGAATTGAAATACTTGTGAAAAAAATCTTTGTGTAAGAATATAGAATGTGTCACTTAAGAGAATTGATACTTGACAAGCTTGGCTTTCTCGATACTGAATGGAAGGAACAATTACCAATGTAAACAAATGCCAAGTTTCAGCAACCAACCAGGATCGAAAAACTCACACTACGTCACTTGCAGGTATCTCATTGCAGATATTTAGGCGATACTTGTGCTATTTTTGCTCAAGTATGATTTGGTGAGTGGCAGCATTCCAGTTTATAGAGACTGTTAAAAGCAGATTCCATTTATTTATTATTTATGTGTGAGCTATAAGCTAGAATTTGTATCGTTTTACTTTAAAAAAGAAAACGATATGTATTTCAGGTTGCTATGACGATATGATAGAACAACTTGTTTAAATGAAAGTGTGTTTTCCTTTATAAAATGGAGTTAAAAGTTTTGTTTTAATTAAGTGAAGATTTTGGATAGAGTCTCACATCTGTGACAGGCGCCGTTCTTGCTTCGACTTTACGTTTTGTTGAATATCTAGTTTTTATTTGTGAATCTTTGAATTTTTGCAGTAAAGATAAATTAAAAAACCATCTGAAGTGGTATTTTTGAAGAAGACGTTTTTTCACTTTTTGGTAAGTAAGTACAACATTGTTTTGTTCCTGTTTTATAAAATACTATGATTTACAATACACTTTCAATTTCAATTGGCTGTGTATTCAGCGTGTTTAATATCCTAGTCATTTAAGTTCTTTTCAAAAAGAAATTATTAAAATTGAAAGTGTTAAATCTGGATGTTTGTGGAATATTAAGAAATTCTATTCGTTGCTAAATTCTTTGTCAAAGTATGTGATTATTTATAAGATCAGTAAAGTGTTTTGAAATTTTCTTGAACTTCATATTAACTTTTTATTTTAATATAATGGATTCATATCAACGTCTCAATGTTTTTGGATGCATTAACGTATTTTGGAACAACAAGTGTTTGAATAATTGGTTTCATTTTATTCAATATTTTCTTATAAAAACTATTTTTTAAATTTTATACTGTTCATACAGTCTATACATGCTTCTATTTACGCGGAATGCAGTTATCAAAGGACGATCTCGATTCTCTGCGAATCCTGTGCAAAACGTGAACACATAAAATGAACGTGACAACAGCCACTATTAAATAAATTTTGAAAAGATTGAAAAAGGAAAAACAAGAAACTATTTAATTTCTACCTCAAACTCTGGTAACCAAGTTTTTCTTTAGCAGAGTTTAAAGAAATACTCGTTTTTTCCATTATATTTCTAAAAAGAGACTTTTAGATATTTCTCTGTTTCGTAATTTATTTCCTGGGTTAACAGCTGGGTAAGTACTTCATAGGAACTTAATCCATGAGGTGATATAGGTGAGGTGAATTTTCTAAGAATTTAATATAAAAAAATGATAAACGATTTCGTATTTGAACTATTATAAATATCTTTATCTCATTGACTTTTTAATAAGTCGCACAGTCAGTAGAGTCCTTAGGATAATTGTTTTCAAGTACAGATGATTTTTCTTTAAAAATCCAGGTAGTCGTTCAGTGAGTTAGTATTAATAACTAGATAAAATGTTCTTTCACAAAATTACAGTAATTGCGTCATTTGTTAAGAGAATATTCGTTGTTTTAGAGGGAAAATATTGACTTTAAAGTGAAAAAACAACGATGTATGCAAGCAATCTCGAGGTTTGATGAGCGTAGCGAGCAGATGACGAAACCCCTCAGTTATAAAAAAAAAGTTTAATATAATTAAATATATTCTAAAATGCATGTGGAAACAAATTTAAAGCTGTTTAAATAAATGTTTTAATACATTCCGGGTTATAATACAATTTTATGAAAAGCTGTAGTTTTCGGTTATTTTTATTTATGAAACTAGCTGTACCCTGCGTGCGTTGCAACGCTTTCAGTTTGAATTTTAATTTTGTATTTAAGTGTGTAAATGAGATTTGCGATTATGATTTGAAATGCAAATTTTTTTAATGGTGAAAAAAACCAGTGATAGTCTCAGCAGTTAGTTCTCAAGGATATCGTTAGTGCATTTTCAAACAGACATGTATGGTGATGCACACGGAGCATGAAACATATTTTGGACAATGATCTGAAATAAGACTGGATCTATGGTGACATCAAGAATTTCTGCTGATATCTGATCAGTTTTAGAAGGTGGTTTTTTTTCAATAAGCCAAATTAGAATGTGTGCCTGAGGCAATCCTCGTTTTTGCCATTCAATAGAGTACACCCAACACCGTGTCTCTCTAAAAACATGACGCTTCACAATGAAATCAAGTAAAGATTATCATTTTTGTTTGAACACACGTGCTGTAATATCATGACGATCCGATGATGATTGTCCTGGTAACAAAATATCTCTAATTTCAACCCAAGCAGAATTGCACGTAAATGTAATAAATAAATCTAGGAGCCCATATGCGAGAACATATGTCATTGCATCCTGTGAGTATTCATACATGTGCCTTGGAGTCCAAGGCACATGTATGAATACTCAGACATGTATGAATACTACATTTGCAGGGAGTCCAAGTTTTTCTCCCTGCAAATGTAGTCGGCAATATAATCATTTTCCCCACATCATTAGGATTAACGTTACCATCATTAATTATTGCATCCCGTAAATGAATGCATTCTTCTGAACGTAATTTGGTTTGATTTAATTTAATATACAGTAGGCGTTCAGTTTCAATTTTCGCATACATATCGACAATGTATTGATGAACTAATTGTCGACATTTTAAAGTATGATTATCAGCGTTTTGGCAATCATTAATCTATATGCATAAAAACTTATTGCACTTGCTTTCTTATTGGTTTTCTCGCCTGTTTGCGGACTTCTTAATTTTATGTTAAAATAATATCCCTCCTCTCCTCACCAAAATAAAATAGGATATTGCAATGCATCATATGATCGATACGTTTCTGAGAACTCTTTGAACGTCACGATTTCTGCGATGAAGAACTGTATCGCGGGAGGTAAATTCTTCGCCAACTATAACAATAGCCACTTCATCCAATGTTGGCGCATTGTATTTTTCTTTGTGGTGGCCTACAGGTGTTTTTTCAGCTCTAATAACAACTTTGTAAATATCGGATGACATTTAGTCTAGGGCAATTGTGAACAGCCTAATTAACTGATTATGTTGATCGAAAAATTTTTGTAATACGGTAACAATTTTTCGTTTAGTGCCATTGTTTACCTGACAACGTTGATTGACTTGATCATTTGTGTTATCCATGAAATAAATTTGTAGAAATTTATGATCTGCGTTAGGCATTGAAAGAAGTGATCCTTGCACGATGATAAATTTGGCCTTGCACTTTGAATGTTGGGATGTAATTCTCGTTCAGGATACGTGTAGCACCGAATAAAGTCATTTAGAAACACGAATTGTACCGGCGTATATGCGCCAAAAAATGTTTCGATTGGTTTGTTTGACCTGATACGAAGGTTGATAATGTCTCGGCAGGCGACGTAAAATCTTGTAGTTTCTGTATGCTTCTAGAACAGCAAATTTCAGCTGTTTCATTTTTAAATTTGAGAGCATTACAAAACATACATAATTGATATATTTCTCCGATGATGACACTTGGGGGAAGACTATAGTTTGTTGTCGGATCATAGTGAAATGCACTGAAATTCAAATCAGAGTATTGGCAGCGTCTGAATAGCGAAATGCGTTCTCGGTCGGTTTTCATTCTTGCTTCCCGTTGCTCTGATGTTTCCGACGAACGGGCTTGTGTAGTTCGTAGTTGATTTGTTGACAGTCTTCTTTCCTGTTGCTCAGACGTTTCTAAGGAGCGGGCTAAAGCATTCTGTTCTCGATTAGTTTCAAATCTTTTTTCCCGTTGCTCCGATATTTCTGAAACACGGGTAGTTCTCTTTTTGCGCGCTTGAGATGTCGATCGACTAAGAGCGATTTGCTTAGGCGGCATATTTTTGCAAATATTCTTTCTGACAAACAAAAAGAAATGTAAAAGTTGACAGTGGTCACAAATTTGCTAAACCGAAATATCACATATATATTTTAAATAATAAAAAGAGCAATAAAAATGAGATGAATAAGAAATATGAAAATTATAAAATTTAAAACAAAAATCTATTTTTTAAATGAAAGAAATAAAATGGATGAATTTGAAAACTTTGCATAAATAAACAAACTAATAGTTTTCAAATGACGACTGTCACAGCAAGGAAATCTTCGAAAACTATATTTAATTGTGCTACCCTAAAATTACATACTAAATATAAATATTTTTGAAAACGTGCAATTTGAATGATTACTTTTGTCTTTATATTTATTAAACTGAATCCGTGATACGACCAATAATTAAGAAATCTATTCTCGTTGATTTTACTTGCTTGTGCTCACCTGACATAAAGAAATGCAGGAATTAAAAATTGAAGTATATGCAATTTACTTTTCTAAATGAGTCGAATTATAAGATAAAAAATATCAATGTTGTTATCTTCAAGATATTTGAAAACTGAATCGTTTATAGCAAAATTTAAAACAATGGCTAGCTTTTAACCAATCAGAAAATTCCATTTCGATTTTCGCTGATACCGCTGGAACGGCTTTTCGCAGAATGTTCTAATATCGACAGAAACCTTCCTCGTGCTTTGAACTATCTGTATGCCAAGTTTCATAGCTTTCTGTCGGTTGGTTTAGGAGTCTATAGAGGACAAACAGACACACATTCACTTTTATATATATAGATTTGGTTAAAATGTCATGAGCAATAGTGTGCTTTGAACTTAAAATAAATTTCTGTTAAGTATTTGGCCATTAATGAAAACAGTATTGTAGGTATTGCAAATATAAAAACCTGCAGTTTTCTAAGTAATAAGGCATAACTCAGGTAACTTTTTTTATATATTTTGAAAGAAAAATTAAAAACACAGATAAGATTACTGAATCTAATGTGAACATTTTATAAAAATTTTTACAGAAAAAAATTCAATTTTTAATTCTCCGTAATTTAACATGATACTCATTATAAGCGATTTCCACGCAATATGGGGTCTACATATAATCAAAATCATAGAAAACATAGAAATTTCAAATCTAAAAATAATGCTTACCATTCACTTCGCAATTGTAGAGTTTATTTATTTTTAAAATATCGATGTCACTAAATCCTCTTCTCTGTCCTATCTTTTTACCCTTTTTTAAAGGTACAATCGTTGGTTCACTGCGGTTTTTAGAAAAAACGTTAGCACCATAATGCATAACTGAATTGTAATCATAAATGGTGTTAAAAGTTTGGACATCATCCGAAGAGCGTTTTGTAAATTGACTCTTTTTACCTGAAAAAAAGAATATTCATTAACAGAAAATAAGTCATTGTATTGGGTGTTTTGTGAAGGCCACTCTGTCTATTTCCATATTCTATACACGGAGGAAAAAATGGTTAAAACTAACAGAATTTGGTAAATTTTGCCATGGTTCTGTCTATTAATGATTGCCAGCATTCCATTAGCATTTTTCTCTTTTCACTGCAAATATTTTAATTTTAAACTTTTTTATTTCATTTTTAACTTTAAAATGAAACAAAAAATCTTTAGGGAATCACCTATATGTTTCTAAACCAGATTTTCCTAACCAGTACTACGGGTACCAATTCAATTGTGCTTCGTGAAAATCACGTAAAAGAACGCAAAATAAATGTGATTTTTTACTTAATTTTTCATAGGATCTAAGCAAAAACAAAACATTTTAAGTAGCAATACGATGGTTCTAAAACTAGGATAATGCTCATCAATTGTATTTTAAAGAAATGATATGAAAATTCTACCCTCTTTGCCCAAAATGCCACCAACATCTGGCTTCAGCTGAACATATTTTAAGCTGCTTAGGACTTCTTCGAGAAGAAATTTACACTTCTCTCCTTGTTTCCGACTTTTTACGCGTCAACGGATTTATGGATCTGGTCTGACGCCGTCAGACCTAAGGAGATAAGTAACAACAACAGCAACAGAAATAATATGTTTTTCACTATATAATGACAGTAAAACTCAAAACGGAACAAAATAAAAATTCACACATGAATGATTTTGGTTATTTTACTGACTCATGGAAAAAACAGCTTCTAATATCTTATAAATGCTTCTATTATTTTCTTAAGAAGTTCTCTTACAGAAAGTCAGCTAATAGAAATTCTTCGAAAATATTGCTAAGGAAACTGGATCCTAATGTTTCAAAGATAACATGTCAGAAAAATTTTTTGCAATTCTCATTCTTAAAACTACGAGACCCAAATATTTAATGACATTTCATATTAATATCATGTTGAAACATTTCTGAAATATTGTAATTTTGACCATATTGACATCATTCTAATCATTTATGGCATTCGGCAAATGGTAAATTTAATCCCTTCTCAACAGCAACACATATGTTCCTTAGTTTTAAGTCACGCTTCATTCCACCATCAACATTCTCTTAATAAACTTAAACGTAAAAGAAATACTTGCCATCTTTTATATTTGCGTAGACTATCTTTACAAATTCATCTCTGTCTGGTCTGTTGTGCTCATGAATGAATCCTAACGCATGCATTAATTCGTGCAATAGAATTCCTTTTGAAAAACAACCGCTCGCCAAACTTACACTTTGGCTGCTTCCACCAGGAACTTTACCTAGCACAGCACCACACCTACAACAATTAACATAAATTTACAAACACAATGGCATGTCAAAAAGTAGATTTTTATTTGTTCTTGTTTGAAGTTTTTAAAAAAAAACTCCATTATTTATTAAATCTTGAACAAATAATGTGTGGTAATTAGAAAACATATGATAGCGGATGAAAACGTGCATATATATATATATATATATATATAT